TTATCAGAGACCTTGTAGAAGAGAAGACAATCAAATTGGAACATGTTGCCACTGAGCTACAGCTGGCTGACATTTTTACCAAGGCTCTAGATGCAAATCAATTTGAAAACTTAAGGGGTAAGTTGGGTATTTGCCAACATGAGGAATTATAGCAATTAATTTTGCTTAAAACAAGGATTAAAGGAGTTATGCTTGTTCTGATTGGGTTAAAATTATATTTTCCCATTTCCTACAAATCTTTTAAGAAGTTGAATAGACACTCCTTTTCTTCCTTCCCCTCTCGTCTCCACATCAAAACCCAGTCTCTCCATCAGAATTTTCTCTTCAGTTGCTGTTGGTCCTCTAGGACTGTCAAAATGTCTCAAACACCATCATCATCCAATACGACTATTTCAACCTCTTCCTCTGATCAAGATTCTAGGACAATCTCTTCCTGTCTGGACTCTGAAGTCTTGAAGATCTCTTCTCGTAGAAAAGTGGGAACTAACCCCACCAAGGTCAAAGAGTTGAGAACAAGACATGCAGGAAAGTCCCAAGCTTCTGCCTCTGGTAATCCATCTCATCCTTCTTCTTCAGTTCCCCCTGAAATTGCAAATAGGGAAGGGTCAGCCTATGTTAATCAAGCAATAGCAAAGATTGTTTCAAGAATTCTGAACGAGAACCACTCAGTTCCTGGCATTTCTGTTCCTTTGAATCAAGAAAGTTCAAATCCAGATGTCTCTAAGGATGTTGAGACATCAGACAAAGAGAAGAATGCTGATATTGCTCACAAGAAAAGGAAGAAGCCCGACTCCTCTGAGTCTGATGACAGTGCTTAAAGGTTGGTTGCTGTTTGGTGGTGCTGCTGGTTGGTGCTGATATCTGGTGGAGTTTGGAAGTGTGTTCAGTTTTTTTTTCTGCTGCTCTTATTAATTTTGGATAACTGTATAATCTTTATGAACATGTCTCTTTGGCCCATTTGTGGCTAAAGAGGGGGAGAATATTTTGGTACTTAATATGTACTTGCTCAATTAGACATTCTATTTTTCTGCAGTCATTTCTTTCTGCTGCTATCTATCTCTGATTGCTTTGCTTAGGGTCTTTAGCCAAAAATCTGCCAAAGGGGGAGTTTGTAGTTGTTTAGGTATTGGCTTGCATTTTTGGTAAAACTCAAGTGTATGTGTGAATGTCATGACTGATGTCATAACATTCTAGTTTAGTTTGTACTGATTCATTAGGTACCTTTGCAGAAAAATATTGTCATTCAGGTACTAATGTTTATAAGTGTGTATCTGAGCATTTTGCAAAATGATCACATTTTGCTAAATCAGTAGACAGGTTCCTCAGATGTCATAACAGATGTCAAGACATCCTGTTCTGAACTAACAGGTTTTACAGGTTGGTTAATTCTGAGTTTTTTCAGGAAAATAACTCAGTCTTTCCAGAACAGAATCCTGCGTTTTCTGAGGGGTAACCTAGCTCAACCCTAACCTGGTTAATAAAGTCCTGTGACCTAGTCTTAAGGTCAAACATAATTAACCCTAGATTTTTTGGAAACCCTAACTGAAGTTGCAGCTGCTATATATTCAACAGAGCTGTTGTTTTGCAAGTAATCCCTTGTTGATCAGAAGATCATTTGTAAACTGTATAGGTTTAATTATTGTACTCCAAGCAATTATCATTGTGATAAGTGACTTGGAATAGGTTTTTAATTGTAAGGGTTGTGTAGCACTCAAAGCTTTGAAGCAAGAGTGTTTGAATGTTCCTTGACTAAAGCTGTGAAGCAGAGTCAAGTTAGTTGTGTGCATCACTCAAAGCTGTGAAGCAAGAGTGATTGTGTTGCTTGATTAAAAAGCTGTGAAGCTTAATCAAGTGTTTGTTTTTGAAGAGTGTCTTCATCAATTCATTAGTCAAATTGTTTTATGTATCACTGCTGTGATTGAGGGGGAGTGAGTAGGAACTCAGGTTTAAGTTGTACTTAGATTGAAATTGCATTGGGTAGGTCTTAAGTGAAGGAGATAAACTGGTTGGTTTATTCCTGAATTAACATCTCTTATAGTGGATTTCCTCCCTGGCTTGGTAGCCCCCAGAGTAGGTGTTGTTGCACACTGAACTGGGTAAACAATTGACTGTGTTCTTTATTGCTTTTGTATTTACTGTCATATAGTAAGTCAGATACGGTGTCATAACATTGAACGTGACATTGAGTATCTGCAGCCAGAATTTCAGAGACCGTTGTCGCCGGTGCAGAAAAGGATCCATCTGGATATTTGGAAAATCATAGCCATCAAGGAGAGCTGCAACTTGAAGTTTCCAGATGAGGTAATTGGAGGGAAGAAGCTTGGTGACACTGCTGAGAGTGATGCAAGTGAAGGGCTTTGATGTCTCATGGGGGTTGTTAATGGATGAGGAGTTGTCGTTGGCCATGGGAGGCAAAAAAAAAAAAGGAGAAGGAGCGGCATCCTGTGTTAGAAAAGAAGGATCGTGTATTAGGCTGATACCATATAGAGATATGAGTAGAATGAATTGAATTGATGATACTGTCATTAGGTTACAACAGTATAAATATACAAATTGACAATGTAAATTGGAAAGAGTCAAACAAATAAACTCCACCAATTTAGCTCTATTTGTTAGCCTAAATAAAGGGAAAACAGATATACAAAAGTTGAATAATAGAAGCTAATTATTATGATTTAAAACTAATTATAATGATTGATAGATTCATGCTACCTCACGGAAGGTAAAATCCTACGTCGTTAAATTTCCAGATCGTCAAGGAGATTCAAAGGTCGTTCATCAAGGGTGAAATCCTGCAACTCGCTGTTATTCATCAAATGCAAGAGTTCTAACGCAAGTTAGTGAGTCACCGATTAAGTTAGTGAGTCACCAACAGATAACTGCAGCCAAGGGAAAATAACGTGCGCCCGAGGAATTGACTGTTGGAATAATTGTTTTTTGAAAAATATTTGTTTTTTACATTAAGGAGAAAATGAAGATAAGTTGAATGTTACAAAATTCCTCTTAAACAAATAACATATACAAACAACAAGAAAATAACAAAAATAATTTAGTGATCCGATGGTAAAATGTTTGTATGTGCTTCCGAGTGTCTTGGGTTTGGATCTTCCAAAATACTTTTTTTTTTGTTCTTTAATATGTTTATAATTATGTATTTATTAAAAATAATTGAAATAAAATGAAAAATCCACATGACATTTAAAAAGATAAAAAACGAAAAATAAAAAAATTATAAAAATTAACAAGTCAAAGATTATTTCAAGATGGACAAAAACAAAAGAATTTTGAAATTTCAAGGATGAAAAAAAATTATAGAAGATTTTTCAAAAATCACCCGTATGCCAAGGAGACAAAATATATATTAACCTATTTTTTTTAAAAAAATATAATTTTACATCGAATGTTTTAAAAAATCATTATAAAATAATTTTTTATTCAGTATAAATTTATAGATTTTTGAAAAAAAAAATTTATATTGATTTTTCAAAGATATTGTAAAATTATAAAATATGTCAGATTTATAAAAAAATCATGTAGTGTTAACTTTATTTTTTTGTCAATCAGATATGAACTATTGAATTATTGAATTGTTCAAAAGTCTAGAAAATTACAAAACATACTAAATTTATAAAAAAAATCCGATAGTGTTAAATTAATTCTTTTATAGATTTATCCGATATAAACTATCAAAATTATCAAATCTTTTAAATGTATTACCAGATTTTTAAATTTTACTACTTTTTTTAAAGTAAATTTTTTTTGACCAAAAATAATTTTGAGAAGAGATAAATAATTAAAAAGACATTTTGGTCGATAAAAAAAGAATAAGGAGGTACAAAATTTAATTTTAGGGGCGGTATAACAAAATATCTGCTAATTGGCCCACAACTTTGGGCTAGCACATAACAAATAGAATGAGAGCCTAATGGAGTATTGAAAATTTTACATCGTATATTCTTATAATTTTTACCGAAATGCTCTTATGTAAAATTTTATTAAAAGTTAAAATATGTGAAAATTTTGACTACCAAAATACTTTTGTAAAATATTCTGATACACATGATAAACATAAAAAATAATGTAAAAAATTAATTTTTGGAAAAGTTTTGAGAAGTTTTTCGGAACGTAAAATAATGACTTCTAAAATATTTTTGAAAAGTCTTCTAAAACATAAATTAAAAATGATATAAAAAAATAACTTCATGAGCACTTTTGAAAAGTCTTCCACAATACTAAATAAAAATGAAGTTAAAAACTGACTTCCAGAAAATTTTTAAAAAGTTTTTTATACACAAAATAAAAATAAAAAAATAATTTTCAAAATACTTTTGAAAAGTCTTCCGATACACAAAATAAAAATTAATATAAAAATTACTTCTGAAACACTTTTCAAAAGTCTTCTAATACACAAAATAAAAATGACTTCCAAAACACTTTTGAAAAATATTTCGGTACATAAAATAAAAAAATATTAAAAAAATCACTTTCAAAATACTTTTGAATAGTTTTCTCAAATATAATAAAAGTTGTGTAAAAAATTGACTTCTAAATTTTTACAAAGTCTTTTATTATACAAAATAAAAATAAAAAATAAAAAAATAAAAAAATAACTAATTAAAAATATATAAAAACAAAGTTGATATTTTTTATAAAACGTAGGAGTAGGAGGATAAATGGAGAGGTAAGAAATAAAATTTTCCGGGTTATTTCGGAAAATTGACGAATGAAAAAAAAAAAAGTACAAACCTAAAGCGTGTAGTACAATGGCAATGTATTTATTTGATTAGAGGGTAAAACAGGAAAACAATCGAAATATGTACTACATGTACTACAATGATGAACGTGCATAAATCCAACCAAGTACTACTATGTACTAACTATATCATATTTCTGGAAGAAAAAAAATGTTTCATTTGATTTTCGAGTATGAAATTAATTTGTACAAAAGGGAGAGAAATTAATAATCATGTACATTTTATTACTAATTGAGTTATTTAACTTCACATGGAGAAGCAATCGTCTCTACTGGTTTTATCTTTGACGGAAGAAAGTGAGAGCGGCGGCGCAGTCTTGGAGTCGGACCGGACCGCCTCGTATCTCCGTCGTGCTGCTGGCCGTGGAAGATTCTCCGGGACAATTGTTTCAAGCGGATTATTTCCTTGCCAAGATGGACACATCCTTTTCTGGCTCCATTTAGCCACACCACCAACCAAAACCACATGCTCATGCTCATCGTATTCTTCATCTTCATCATCTTCCATTGAATTTGGCATGGTCACGACCATGATCTCCTCCTTAGGCACGAGAACTTCATGTTGTGATATCACTGAATTGTTGAATTGTAGTCCAATTATGGTGAAGCACGAAGCTACTCCTATCACAACGCATGGCCTTTTCCAGCTTCCTCTATTTTTCTCCCTTTAATCAATTCAGTTATATAGATCAAAAACATTATTAATTAGGCACATATTTTTTTTATAGGTGTCGGTGTTACAGAGATTTTAACCTGCATGACATGAAAGATAAAACTTACAAGGAAAGTTGAGGTGGGTTTGTGGGGATGAGGGAAGCTTTTGAAGTTGGTGTAGGGTAAAGACGGAGGCAGCAACTGGTTGATCTCATGGTGGAAATTGGAGAAACTTTTTCTTCACTCTCGATTTCTATATTATGCAATAGTATTAGTATGTTGAAGTTGAACTATATATATAAATTAATTATCGATGCAAAAAATAAAATAATTATGAATATACCCTTTAAAATGAATCTAAAGTATATAGAATGAATTGGTGGATGGTCAGAGCACGGTAACTGTGAGCGAAAAGGATGGGAGATGAGGTGGTGAATTGTGATTGGACGAGTGGGTTGAGTATAATTAGAAGCTTCATCATGAGTCATGGTGCTTGCCGTATTAGCAACATTAATCTCGAGAACAAGTACGTAGAAGACAGAGGAGGAGTCACGCTCTCGACGTCCGCCAAACCCAAACCTACTACAACCGTCAATATGTAATATGTAACTTGTTTGAATCAAATCTTGGACTTCCTCGTAATTGCCCGCGTGCTTTTTATTGAGTTTCAAACTTCCAAATCCTTCAAACATCGCTCTCGCTACCCTTTAGGTCTCTCACCTGACCAACTTTCTGATTTAGAAGCTTTTTTAGTTTTTTTTTTTAATTTTAAATATGTAGCGGGACTTATTAATCTTGGAAAAATAAAAACTTCTACAAAATAACGATGAATAATATATTTTTTAATAAATAGTAAAAATAAATAATGAATGTTATATTTTGGTGGTTCAAAACTTCCGCAAATCAATTGAAAAATTAAACAAAAAGAGGTTTTTCACGTGAGAGACCTATTAAAGTCTCTCACGGTAGACAAAGCTTTCAAACATGCTGATTTTAAAAGAAAACAATTTAAAATAATCAAATGAGTAAAAGTTAAAAGAATTTAATTGTTATTTTTTGCGAGTGAACTAAATTTTCAATGTACAAACAATTTTAAAATTGAGTTAAATGACAAATAAATTAAATTAAAAATAAAAAAATACTAAAAACAATTTTAAATTTTGTTATTAAAAAATTTGAAAAAAATATAACGGTTCGTTCTTTAACATATGGTATGTTTTGGAAAAAACTGTCATCTAACAATTTTATAGGGTTCAGAACTTCGAATCAATATATCAAACCAATAATTTTAGTTCGATTCTATTATAGATATTTTTAAATTGTCTGTTATTAGTTTGTTGGTCTATTATTATATCTGTTAGGGTTTATCCTATCAAGATTTGTCATTAGTTTATTAGTGTTTATCCTATTTTCAAGCATCTCAAATTATAAATCATCAACCTATATATAAAGGCACATAATGTATCATTCTTCATCGTTGATCAACACAAAATACAAAGTACTTTCAAGTTAACTTTATATTATGACATCCGAGCACGATTCCTATTCAAAAGAGAAATTGGAGAGTTAAGATACCTCTAAATCTGAAAGGAAGAACACAACAAAGAATACACAAGCTTACCATTTAAACAACTTTGATAATCATGGAACTCCACTCATGACAATATTGCTGAATGGAGAGAATTACTGCACATGGTCAAGATCAATCAAGTAGGCTTTGCGTGCGAAGACGGAACTGAGTTCCATTGATGGAAGCATCAAGAAACCATCAAGAGAATTTGAAGCATACCGTGACTGGGAGAAAGAGGATTCCATGGTGACGACTTGGTTGATCAATGTGGAAGAACCAAAACTACACATCATCATCTCACATGCTTTAACGACTCGAGATGTATGGGTGGATCTTCCGAACATAAGACCGTAGGTAAAGCTTAGGACAAGACACACCATCATATTTGGCAAAGACGGGGACCTTGAACATGTGAGGGATAACAACCCCTGAGATAAGACCTAACTCCTCAAAATCCAACCCAATAACTCTCTAGATCTTTGTAACACCCTCTAAAACCCCGAATAAATTTCGCAAATAATTAAAATCATATTTTCAGAGTACATGTATTAACGAGGATGTCACAATTCTCTTTTAATAAAAACAAGTTCCTGTCATGCATAACATAGAAGCAACTCATACATGTTTACACAGCGAAATAATTTAATTAACAAACCAATGTTATAATATTTTCAAAATCATCAGGGATTAACACCTGGAATATATCAACATCATATTATAACAAACATAAGGAAATAAACGAGTCTGACTAAAGCAGCTCGACAAACAAACGTTCCCGGAGTTACAACTATCAGAGCATGACCCGGACAATACTTAAACTGAAATAAACTAGAAACAACAAGCCTTCGCCGAGCACCTGAACGAAGCTCCTCAATCTGAAATATTCAACATGTAAGGGTGAGCATCTCAACTATACATTTGATTATACGTTCAAAACAATCAATTTAGGAAACCATAGACATCACCCAACAATTAGCATGTTTTATAAATTACAAAAACCTTTACAATTCATATATTCATAATATCTTACTTTTCATGCTTGTAATTATCATCAAACATCATTAACAATTTAGTATCAATACATGCATACAATCAATCAAATACAACATTGGAAAAGTCATCCATTCATGTCACATTCAATGTAATGCAACACACCCATGCATGTGGTACCATTTTACCGCCCCATTAAATCTCGGGTCACGGATAACTCACCGTTCCATTATATCGCGGACACGGCTACCACCTCAACGTTCCATTAAATCGCGGACACGTATATTGGCCACCCTGTTAATTCCACACAATGGGAATTAACAAATGCAACATGATATGTAAAGTATGTAACACTCAGCATACTATTAACATCAATCAACATATCATGCAACATCAACAACATCAATCATAACAGGATATGGATAGCATGTAATCACTCAGCATACTATCAAACATCGATCATATCAAGTTATATCATAATTCATGCTTGATACATCATCTAAAAGCATGACAATAACATCCATGTAGTGTTGGTATCATAACATACAAACGTTATTCGATACAAGCATCAATCAACACTAGGAAATCAATAAACAGCATATTCAAAACATGTCAAACACTGCACATCAAAACAGGATCAATCCGTACATAACAATATCCATTTTGCATAACTCAAAGCAACACATCGATTGAAAACACAATTCCTTTCTACGTTAGTCAATTTCCAATCTTAAGGACAGCATTACTTCACTTAAGGTCTTATTTTTCAAATCATACACAACTCAGAATTTTCATCTCAAAACATCCTGTTTTATCAACAATTCTTTCATCAACAACAAGTTTATAAAATTGACCTTAAGTTACATATTACCCGTCCTTTAGGGAAATCCTAACAACATTGAGGTTATCCCTAGAATTACCTAAGGGAAACTCTCGATCATGCAAATATACTCCAAATCCACCATAGGAACCTAAAATCCTTAATTGATTCATAAAATTTGGGAACCTAAACCTTTTCTAACAAGGTTCAACCCTAAGGTTATTGATCCCTAAGAACATCTAAAAATTGGGGTTCTCCCTACGATTATCCAAAATCAACCGTACCTAAACCCATAAGCAAAAGTAAATCGAGTAGTAGCCCCCCTTACCTTATCAAATTGCAGCTTCGAACTCTTGAGCGATTGTCCGTCGTTCTTCAGAGCTCCAATCCCAAATATCTCCAAACACCTCACTAAAATACATAACAATCAAATTCACTTATAAACATAAACACTTTCTCCAATAATCACTTATTAAAATAAGCTCTTAAAGCTACTTAATTCCTCATAATCATATAGAAAATTTCACTAGCTTTCCAACGCATCAAACGGCGCCTAAATCGGAGTTACGGTTCAAAAGTTATGGCCGAAACGATTTTTGGGAAAAACCTACCCGAGCATCACACAGAAGATCAACACGGGTGCCCGTGTGCATCAACACGGCCCGTGTTGATGACTCTGCAACCCCAAATTTCACGTTTTTATGCTTCCCAAAATCACCCCAACTCATTCCTAATCATCCCCAAACATCCTAAAACCATCAAAATCGAATTCCTACCATATAGCAATGATCTAAGGCATACAATAGGATCAATACCACATCAAAACCCAATCAATTACATTCATGTTTCATCATCACAACAACCATGGCATCAAGAATCCATCATCCCTACAAATCCCTAACTCATATAGAATATATATCACAACTTATTCATAGTAAAAGAATGATCAACCCCTTACCTTGGATAATCTGCAGCTCCTGCAACTTCCTCGATCAATCTTCTCCTTCTTCTCCTTTCTCTTCTTTACACGTTCTCTGAGTTCCAAAATCCCAAAATCTCAGTTTTACGTGAAAGTGAGCAAAAGTGACATATAAGTCCCAAATAACATTTTACTTCACTTGTACCCCCTCTTTTACCAACAACATCATAGCCCAATAATCCTTATTTTTTTCTACAATTATTTATAAAATAAATAATAATCCTTTTATTTTATATTAACCCAAATAAAATAATTTTATTGGTTTCAAATAAAATAACTCTTATTAAGATAATTCCAAATAAATAGAACTGGGGTGTTACAACTCTCCCCCACTTAGGATATTTTCGTCCTCGAAAATCCAATCGACACAACCACTCTCAACACCAATTCTGGACATACCAAACACTCAACGTATTATCAACCAACAACTGTTGCACTCAGGCACACAACGTCGTCTTTTCGTCTTAACAATATTACATGATCAACTTAGCGACCATATCGACACCAAAACATACACAACTAATCATAACGATATACCCGATATTAGCTCATCGACACCCTCAACACCATCTTGATACATCGCTTATGAAGTAATAACATCCGCAAACTACTTATACTTGAACATACAACCATCATATTATCCTCTTGACAACATTCTTAATACAAACTCACGCGCCAATTCATTCCTTAATATACGAATTCCAATTATCAACCAAATACTTACAACTTGATTACTCTCGTCATATCACTCTTATAGTGACATCCACATAACCGACCAAATCACCTTTAACACAATCTGAAATATTACCATTCCTTTTAGTAATCAACACTGACATCACAACAACGAAAACAAAATTCTCATAACATCTGCTTACGGGTCTTAATCCAAAAATTATATATACAACTCTCCATAAACCAACAACCACATTAATATCCTTATTAAATCAACTGACATTTATAATAGACCAACATACTCTGGCACATCACGCTTCAGATGCGCAACTCTGATTACTTATAAAGTATCAACTCTACCAAGTTTACTCCAATTGCCACTCTTGGATGAAACATTCATATACTTCCATGAATTCCCAATTGTCATAAAACATAACTACGACTTTATCATCTTTTT